AAAAAAAAAAAAAAGAAACACAAGCTTTCTAATAGCAGTTCATTTGCTTGCTCATTCATTCATTCAAGCAACATGTAAAAAGCAAGTGTGGACAGACAAAAGGATTTCTGCCCTCCATGGGGTTACAGTCTAGTGGTGGAAAAAGAAAAGAGGCACTTTCTGATCATTTCCTTGTATGTGCAGTATTCAATACCAGAATATTATATGAAATCTATAGCCAAAAAGAATGAGCAGCTGGGAAGAAGATTTTCTTGTAAATATTTATGACCTTTGGAGGAGTGAACCTAATAAATTTTGGATGAGCTGTGAAAGCACAGGTTAGTAGTTATTACACAGAGCAGACTTTCATGGTTGGGTAATGATAAGGGGATTCTACCTTAAGTTCCAGTTTGGCCAAAATACAACAAGTGAATGTATCAATTCCTTGCACCTTAATTTTGCCAATGAGAAATTATAATGCTATCTAAATAAACCAGGCTGGGTTACAGCTGGCAGTAACCTATCAAATACACAGTTAAAAAACTGCGAGGTGTGAACCATGAATAGATGCAAGATGTGTGGTCACTGCAGAAGAAAGATAGCAGATGACTGATGGCAAAAACAAATACTATTTTATTTACTTTACAAAACCCTTACCTTTTACTTTGAATTCTATTTTATTTCACATGTACGCAATTATACATCAGTGTTCTCCTGCGTGTGGCAAATATACCACTGGTATATGAAATACTTTTAGTGGTATCCAATTATCTTTTTTAAAAAATAATTTTTAAAAAATAATTATCTTTTTAATAAAAACACAGACATACAAAGCAGTCTTTTGATATAACGTTACTACGTAAAAATAAGTGAGATGATTTAAAGTTCAAATACCAGTAAAATAATCTACAGTGTTAGCAGTCAAGATGCCAGGTGCAGTGACTCTACTACTCAGGAGGCTGAGATAGCAGGACTGATTGAGCCTAGGAGTTTGGGACCAGCTCAGGTAACATGTCAAGGCTCAAACCAAACAACACAAATAACAAACCCTCAAACAAAAGTCAAGAGAATGTGATTATCTCTGAGGAAGAAAGAGGAAGAAGGGCTACTGCTGGTCTCTGATGACCTTGTATGTCTGGATCTGGGTGGGCACTGCACTGGCATGCTTGCTTTGTGATAATTACAATGCCTAACACTTAGGCCTTCCTGTATGTCTCTGGCTCTTCTATGCTATACTTTAATAAATAAATGGTACATGTATATGAAGAAAACCCATGAAAATGAGACATAAATGACTCATGTATGGAAAATTCTGGTATAAGTAGTATAACATGAACTGAATTCAACCCTATTTCTGCACCTTTTTAGGATTAATGACATCAGCTTTTACATTCCGAGTTTCACTTTCGTCAGGTTAGGTTGTAACTTGTGCCTCAAAGCTAGGTGGACACCACTTGGCCCACAGGTTCTTTACTCCTCATCACTGCGCTGTACGACATCACTGTCTGGACCTGTTCAGCCTGCAGCAAAATCATAGATTTGCTCTCTCCAAAAAGCAGTTGGTTTTCAAGAGGAAAAACCTGACTGTTAGACTGTGGGTATGGTCAGATCACAGACACAGGCTATCAGTCACGACAAGGATGATGGGAAGGAATGGCTCAGCACAGATCACTTATACCTGGAATTAGAACTTAAACTATCCTGAGAGAGTGGGTCTGTACCATTCTCTTCATGGTGATAATGCACTTTGATATGTACTTCATCTGAAGGTATTAAATAATTCTTAGTCTTCCTTTTAAAAAAATAGAAATACTCTTTTAAAATTAATACATGGCAAAAAATTCAAATAAAAGTCAAAAGTTATAACCTTATCTCCTTGGCACATGTTTTAAATCAATCCATCTATGTTTACTTCTCAGCCCACACATTTATTAACAAATGCAGAATCATACTACACATATCTTATAACTCACTTTTAGATCTTTATAACAGATGTGAAATCCTTCAATGAATTATAATGTAGATTTATACTTATTAGTATAGATGTATACTACGTTTTACTAAGCGTGTAGCTTTCCATTGCAAGTGGACAACTACTGGTTGACATTTAGGCTGTTCTGCAACATATGTACTGCAAATACAGATATGTATACAAAATAAAACATTTTTGTGTAAAGATATATCACTGCCTTATAACAGCCATAACTTATTTAAGGTAATTCATGATATGGTGACAAGAGTTCACAATGCTTTACCTCAGATATCAATGTGTTTTTAAAAAAATCATCAGATAAAATCATTTAAAAGTCATCTCACCTGTGAAAAGATGAGGAAATTTAATAGGCAGTATCACAGCTTCTTTTAGTGCTTCTTTGGCTCCTTCAAGACCAGCAACGTCACTCCACTTCACATTGGGTCGTTCTATAACAATGGCACCTACAAAAAAATTTTGTCATCTTTAAATTGAGGAAGCCTATTTCATCAAAGTTAGAAGATAACATGAAATAATGACATTAAAGAAATGCACTATAAAAATTGTCTAGGGTAAGTTTTATGTGCCAAAACCCTTTCTGAGATAGTGTGATGAGGAATTAGTTGCCTAGGAGGAGCCAGCAGGAGTCAGTAGCCAGGGTGGGTGGCTAGATACCTGGGGCAGTTCACTTTCACCTTTGTATTTCCACTTCCTCATTTGTGAAATGCAAATAATGTCATTTGCCTAAACTAAAAATCAAATGACATGAGTACCAGAGTGCTTGGAAAAACACCAAACATTACACAAAGTGGTTGTAATACTGTATTTAAATACACTGATTCTGGAGTATCAAAAGTACTTGTTCAGTTGAGGTTTAGCTACCTTTTCTAAACAAAACAAAAGATGATCTAATCTCCTCGAAGACAGGAAAGAAGGAAAGAGAAGGATGCAATGGAAGTGGATGATGAAAAAGGGAAAGTACGTCCCTACAAATCTGCAATACTTTCTTGAGATCTGCCAAATTTACCATTTTTGTAAATTAACAAAGTTATTTAAATCAATGATTTAATTTTTGAATGCAGTATATTCAAAAGCCATAGCAATTGCTGCCATAAGAGTCCAAGGATTTACTTTAATATAGATATTGGCAAAATTTCCTACTTATATTTCATTAAAAGCTTTTCCAAATTTCCAGTATACCAAAATTGTTCAACTACAAATTAAGCAGCCTGTTCTAAGATGACATGTAGTTGTACCAAGTATAACAAAACACCACTACTTACACAATCTAATTATTACTTCATAAAATTAGTTTTTCCATTTCTTCCAGTTAATAAAGATCATCTACCTTCTATTCCAAGACTAATTATGTTCAACTTCTTTAATTATGAAAATCTTTAGTTACTAGATAAAAATTAAATGAAACTATAAATACATTTGCATTCTAAAAGTTCAGACTTTCAATTCACTTTTCTATGTTCCATTAAGATTAATAATCCTATATGAGGAAAGGTTTACATCATGATAGGATTCTCAGTTAAATGAAAGAATTAATAAATTTAACTCAAGATTTTTGCTATAAATTTTTAAAATATGCTATAATTAATTTTCACATTTAACTGACACTTTTCTCCTTAAAGTTTAAGGTGACTTTGGCATGTTTGCTGATAAACAATTAAATATTAGACATTGCTTAATAGTTTCCAAAATTAAAAAGGTGAGATGGGATTATTAGCAAATATAAATAAAACAAATGGATTGTACTTTGAATTATGTAAGTTTATCCAGTCTTTGATCATACTATTTATAACACTAATACATCATTTATGCACAAAAAAATCAGAGTATTAAAATTAGCTAAAAGAAAAATCAAATCATAAACCCATTTTTAACTATCACTACACTTTATGTCATGATCTAAAACAGAAGTAGAAAGATTTAAAATAGTGTTTCAGGAAAAAAATAGGAAAGATTCAAAGAAAGATATTATACCATGAAATCCATCAGCAAACTATTAAAAGATTGGGGGGAAAAGGACTCTCAGATATCAAAGGCAAAGACTCCTTTCATATACTATTTCATCCTGGAATTCCAAGTATTTGGTCTTTTTACATCTCCAGTTTTTACCATAACTGACAGGGAATTTAGAGAAATCCCTACTGAAAATTGGTTATCTTTTTCAAAATTATAGATAATCCATTTTTCTTGGGGGTGGGGGAAGGCAGGTAGGATGACGGAAATAAAACCAAAACCAATAGGGGAGACAGAAAACAACCTCTTGCCGTATAACTGAAACAGGCCACTTGGTACACACCACTGGGTTACCAACAAATACTTAGTGAGTGTGCAGTGTGTGTTAGCACCACTTCAGGCCATGGGGACGCAGCAGTGGAAACTCAGGAGTCTCTGCCCTTGAACTATATCCACCACATACCCACCTTGTTAACTTTACTGTTTTCAATATACTATCTTTATGGTGTTCTGTAAGTCCCAGTGGGGTAGGTAAAACAGAATATTACCAAAATGAAGAGACTAGTATAGCAAAGTTAAAGAGGTCTGGCTAAGGTAGGTATATTCACTATTCAGTAATAAAACCTGATTTGTAATGGAAATCCTTTCCCAGTTACATGATCTATTTAGAGTGATTCAAATAGACAAAAACATACTAATGGGGAGCATAAATTCAATTTCAAAAGCCATTAAATAGGTCTATCTAAGAACAATCTCAGCAATTAAAGAAGATAGCACTTAAATAGATGCCTTTTTAGATACAGAGAACTACTATTTATTGAGTCCCTAGAATTTGTCAGATATAATATTATTAATCTTAATGGCCCTGAAAGGAAGGTATTACTAATTTCCATTTCATGGGTAAGGACTCAGACTCTGAAAGGTTTAATAACTTGCCCATGATTAGAAGGCTTCTAAGTGGCAAATCCTTGAGTGGAATTGAGATCTGAATGGAGCCAAAATCTTTGCCCTCTTCAATATACCACTACACTGTAACAGAGAATGAAAGAGCGTTTAAAGGGGTGGAAGGTAAAAACAGAAAGCTCAAAGAGAAAGGTAAACAGGAACACTAACAGGCAATGAGGAGGAGTAGGTTAGAGACATGAAATAAACCATCAATGAATGAGTTACAGCAATGGCCAAAAAGCCAAGTGCAATTCCTAATTAGTTCTGCTCCTTGACAGTAGTGAATCTTAATAGCACTGGATTTTGTAGTGTACGACCAGTATGAATGCTACCTTCTCTAAATGAGCACAAATACACAAAATGCAAGAGAATAAGTTGACTGACAGCCTTTTAAAGGCATATATAAACCCAAATAATACTTTTCCTACATAAGAAATCAAACTGTTAGAGACCCTAGAGAACTGTTGTCCCTGTTAAAAAGCTGTAAAGATATCTAGCACATGACCACTGTGAATCAAAGCCACTTCCAAACACAGAATGGAGGAAAATAAAACAATTCAAATAGACAATTTGCTATGAGTCTTTTAAATAAGACAGAAAATTTAAAAATGAAATCTAAAGCAACCTTGAAGTTGATTCTGTAGTTTCTTTTTTTCAGGGTCATCAGATTCTCCTTCCCCATCACTGTCATTCCTAATAAAAAGAATTTAATATATTCAAATAATCACTCATTACTATCAAATAAGGCTCATGTTATTATTTTTAAGACTATATTAAATAAAACAGGAAGCAGGCACATTATCAATTAATAGAGAATCATGAACAGATGAGTGACAAAATGACCAAAATAAAGAAGAACTAGCTCCAAATTCCCATGACACACCTGCATATGTATTAATTCATAAATGCATGCCCCACACATCATTCCATGAAGGATTTAAGATGAATTGCAAACAACAATAAAAACATCAGGACCAGGCAAAATATAAATTAGAATGAGAAGTCATATCAGAACAAAAAATCCAGAATACTAATTATCTAAGGTACAAGAGCCTATAACACTTAGTCTGTGGTTCCAAAGGATCAGTGAAGCTTTTTGATGACAATGAACTGAATGCACAGAACAAGTACTCATTTCATATCTAGAAATTTATCCTGAGGAAATAATTTCAAATGAGTTCAAGGATTAACTATAAAGATGCTCCCACCCACACTGTTTGCCAACTGGGAAAAACCACAGATAATTTATGTTCAATTGAGAAGATTAGCATATGATGGAAAACATTGCAATCTTTAAAAACAATATTATAGAAATATTTATTGGAAAGGTGTTCCTGATACAATGTTGAGTGAAAAAATGATAAAGTAAAAAATACAGCATTATATAATTTTAAAAACCATAAGATATAAAGGGGGAGAAAAAGCTTGGCAGGTTTTATGCCAAAATGGGACTGTCTTTTAGGATGGTGGGGCTTGGGGTGAGGGAGAAACCACAAACCTGACTGACTGGACACTCATTCACCCCTAAAGGCTGTAAGGCTGTCCTCATAAAAAACTGCCCTCTGGAGGCTCCGTTACAGTTAGGGCTCCACATGAGATTTAAGTTCTTTTAAGAAAGTGGGGGCTGCTCTCAAGAAGACCAAATGTTCAGGGCTTTTTTTTTTTTTTTTGTAGAGACAGAGTCTCACTTTACCACCCTCAGTAGAGTGGTGTGGTGTCACAACTCACAGCAACCTCCAACTCCTGGGCTTAGGTGATTCTCTTGCCTCAGCCTCCTGATAGCTGGAACTACAGGCACCCGCCGCCCTCAGTATATGAGGTCCCTAACCACTGAACCACAGACACCACCCCCCAAATGTTCCGGTTTTGCTGAGGGAGCTGCAGCAGAGAGTCACTGTCTGCTCACAAGCACTGGGAAGCTGAGCAGGTGTGTGTGTGTGTCAACAGTGGGACCCCTACTGGAACAACCCAGACATAACTGGGCACAGCTAGTGATAAGGATTCCAGACTTAATTCTCTTGCCCCCAAATGCTATAAGGTAATACCACATAATAAATCCCTATTTGTTTAAATGAGCCTAAGCGGGTCCAACTGTTTGTAAGATTGCTCTTTTTTTTTTTTTTTTTTTTTTGAGACAGAGCCTCAAGCTGTCCCCTTGGGTAGAGTGCCGTGGCATTACAGCTCACAGCAACCTCCAACTCCTGCGCTCAAGCGAGCCTCCTGCCTCCGCCTCCCAAGTAGCTGGGACCACAGGCGCCCACCACAACGCCCGGCTATTTTTTGGTTGCAGCCATCATTGTTGTTTGGCAGGTCCAGACTGGAGATTCGAACCGGCCACCTTAGGTGTACGTGGCTGGCGCCTTAGCCAGTTGAGCTATAGGCGCCGAGCCAAGATTGTTCTTTAGTACGGGAAAAGAATGGGAATCTCCGAGTCAGGTAACCACCTCAGGAGAGATCATTACAGGGTCTTCAAGCAAGACTAGAAGAACTTCAACAGACAAGGAAAGAGACAAGTTTCTGCTGGCAAGGGAGTTTCAGGCACAGCTGTAGATCCCTGGCTTAATTCTTCCCAGTATTTTCGTTTTATGTTGGAGTTCCTATCTTACACTGACCATCCTTACTTTCATGTAAGTTCAAATTCAATAATCCATAAGATTGGACTGTCACCATAGTTGCAAAAGGTAAAATGTCCTTAGAGTGTTACAGAAACTCCCTTGTTCCCTGATCACATCTTGAACAGAAAATACAAAACTTAAACAGTTTTCCTCAAACTCTGCCACACAATGTGAGGCAGTATGTCAACTCCAGTTCTTAAATTCCACATGTTGTCAGTGGTCTGTGCGAGCAGCCACAAAGCACTGTCTAAAAGATCCTCCTGACCACAGGGGATCATCTGAGTAACAGGTCCCACTATATATACCATGAACTATAAGTACCACGTCCTATACAGCTAGGCAGAGCCTCAATGCTTCCAAGCCCAACCAGACCAGGTAACTCCATCCTAGAATCTCATTTTCTTAAGAATGTGTCATTGGAAACCACTTCTGGCACCAGTTACAATACAACGTATTATCTGTCACCCAAAGTCACCCCTAAGGTCTCCATACGTAGGAAAAATGAGAAATTGCAGCTAAATGTACCTGTATTAACAAAATACTCACTACAAAATTTTACAAAATACTCTCTATGTATTTGCCATCCTTTTGCAAAATTTTATAATGAATATTTTATAAATATAGGTAAATTAAGCTATAATTTCTCATTTTCCCTTTGTATGGTGACTTAAGGGGCAATTTTTGGGATACCCTGGAGAATATAGTCAGAGAAGACCTCGTTTGAATATGTTCCCACTGCTTACCACAGAACTTGACATACACATATTACATGGTGAATAAATTAATTCTGCTTCAAGAAGTGATATATCTCTGGAAGACATTCAAAAATGGGTTTTAATATTTATAAATTATGCCGTGCTGTTTTTCTTTACAATGACAACATCAAGCAAATCTAAAGCAAATGTCTATCTAAAAATTTTAAAGGACATCCAAAAAATTATTTACATTGTTGGAGTTATTTTTCATTTTGTCCATGTGGTGAAAAGATTTAATTCACAGATAACTCCTGTAATTTTAAACTTCAATATTACCTAATGGCCAGAAGGTAACTGAGTGCCAATCCTTCAGATGTTTTCCCCTACTAGCAGTGAGCAGTCATGGAAGATTGAAGTATATATCCTCCTCTAAGATCAGCAAACTAGCAGCTGACAAACCTTTTTCCATAAAGGATGAGAAGACAAGCAAATATTTTAGGTTTTGTGGGCTACATAGTCTCTACCGCAACCCCTCAATTTTGTTATTACATGAAAGCAGCCATAGACAACAGGATAAAGAACGGGCAATGCTGTGTTCTGATGAAACTCATTTATGAAAACAAACAGCAGGTCAGGTTCCGCCCACAAGCCATGGTTTGATTAAACAGCCAGTTTAATCAGAAGAAATTTATTTCAGAAATTAAAAGTTAAAAGCTACAATAAAACCAAATGTTTTTAAACACATACCCTTTCTCATCTGCTGGACTCGGCTGTCCCTCCTTCACCGGCTTCTGTGGCTTTTTCTCTTTCTTTTTCAGGTACTCCTTAAGCTGTTCTGCTCTATCAAGATATTCTGTACACTTTGCCCTGATGCTTTGCTTGGCTTTTTCTCCCTGTGCTTCATCTATTAAAGGGAAATGATAAGAGATTTTTTTCCATGAGAATTCTATATAGAAAGGTTTAAACTCTTAATTGTGTTTTTTAAACAAGGAAATTCCGTTGGGAGAGGGAGAGAAAATCATCTCTAACTCATTGATAACCCATGATTTTCAACTCTTTTTTTATTTTTTTCCCCAAGTGGGACTGCAGATCAACAGTGGGTCTGAGACAGAAAAAAATCTGAGCAAGGCAGTAGTTTATTTTAAGATAATGTTAAATAATAAATTGTTTAAAATTCTGTGGGTTTCATATTCTTACTCTACATAGTGCAGACATTTGAAAGCTACTTGTCCCACAAGGACCCAATTATAAGACAAATAGAAGTAAAGCCATACTAACCATTTTACTAATGTCTACGTAAACTTTATTTCAGAGTATAAAAAGTGATGGAAATCCTCTATATTATGTGTAACACCAGCACAGTAATTTTACTGCATAAAAGCCTCTGTCAGAGCTATCTTCAAAAGTGACCCTTAGCAAAATATGCATGCATGGGATCAGCCCTGTGTATCTTAAATGTTATGGTTCATTCTTAGTTTTACTTTAATTTGATATAAAATCTCAAAATTAAATGAGAAAGCTCAAAAGAAAATCATAACTTATCCAACTGCATCAGGTTTAAGATGCATGAGGGCAGGGCTCTCTATCCATTTTGCTCACCGTTACATCTTGTGCCTAGAATAGTGCCTGGCACATGGTAAACATGTAACCATACTTGTAAAATACATGAGTAAAATGTTTCCCAACCTAGCTAGAATATTTTCAAAAATACACTTAGAAAAATGAGTCAACCTATATTACACAATTTGGGTACATTACCAGCAAAATAAAAAGTAATTGCCACTGAGATGTCTAGGTATACAAAGTGGTAACTGTGATAGTTCTCAAATTTGTGAGCTAAGTCTAGTACTTAAAAGTTACAAGGAAAAAAGTGGAATTTTTTTGGCAAATGGAAGCATTAGAATTTGCTGGCATTTTATTTCAATTTTTATAAATGAAATAGAGTAATTTCTTCTTTAAGGGTTCCCCCCCCCCCGCAGGTTTTGGCTAGGGCTGGGTTTGGACCACCACCTCCAGCATATGGGGTTGCACCCTACTCCTATGAGCCAGAGGCACCGCCCCTTTTAGTGTTTTTCAAAAAGTAACCTGTGACCTTACATTTAACTACATGGAGAAAATACTGCACGGCATGTTGATAGAGTTGAAGGGCTTCTTCGTAGTTCCCCGCTTTGTCTTCCTGGGCTGCTTTGCTAGCAAGATCTATTGCTTTCTGTTGGAGGGAGGCAAAAGAATGACATTAAAATCAAGCCATAAACCTAAGTCTGAAGTAATTATATTGAAAGTTTTCTTAAAAAATAAAAGCAACCTAAAAACAAATCCATCTTTTTTTTTCTAAATCACAACTGCATTTTATTATAAATTACAAAATTATAAAATACAAATTATATTTGTTGTATGAGTAAATGTTATCAGAATACTACTTTCTCTAGTCCTAACCACTAAAATTCACATGCAATTTTCACTGAGCTAAAGTCAAATCTAGGGCTAATAAGAAATAATCAGATGATCTGAAAATTCAAATTGAACAACTATTCATATAAATTCTCAAAAGTTAAATGCTGCTGTATCTAAAGCACACAACAATAATGGAAATGGAGTAAAATCCCTACAAAAGCAATATGGCAATGAAATATCAAGAACCTAAAATACCCAAATCTTTTAATCCAGTAATAATTTTTAAAAGGTTTACTAAGCAAAGATTTTAGGGGTCTTTTAACAAAAACAAAACCTGGAAACTTAAATCATAAATAGAATATTAAAGGATCATTAAATTAGTATTAAGAAATATTTACAATAACATAGAAAGTATTTATAATGGGCCTTTTCATATGCAGCAAATATTATTTGAAATAATAGTGAAAAAAAGATGGAAAAAAATTTAACAAGGAGTATCTTTCATAAGACTACATTTTCTAGTTTCTCACACCTCATAAAAATATCCACAATGAACATGGACTGCTTTTGTGGCATTAAAAAAGAAACTCCTAGAAACAGATTCATATAAATATATGGAAGAGATTTTTGAAAATGACAATGAAAAAAGCCAAATCAACAGTGAAAGAATATAGGCTTTTTAAGAAATTATGCTGGAACTGAATATCCATACGCACACAAAAACAAACCTCCACTTAGCCTTAACACTTTTGCAAAAATTAACTCAAAATGGATCACAGACTTAAATATAACATGTAAAACCATAAAACTTTAAAGAAAAACATGGAGAACTTCGGGATCTAGAGCTGGGTAAAGAGTTCTCAAATGTGATATCAAAAGTACAATATACAAAAGGAAAAATGATAAGCTAGACCTTATCAAACTGAAAAGGATGAGAAAAGGTAAACCACAGACTGGAGAGATCTGTGAAACACGTATCTAACAAAAGACTAGTATCTAGAATACATAGAACTCTCAAAATGGAACAACTTGCCCATGTTAAAAACTGCACAGACACACTCATACAAATACACACAAGTACAAGTAAAACTGGGAAAATATGAGTAAGAGAAGTAGAATGGACCAATGTCAATATCCTGATTGTGTATTTTGCTTGTTTTATAAGATGTTATCATTGGAGGAAATTGGGTAAAGGATACACTGGAACTCTTTGTATTATTTCTTACAACTGCATGTGAAATACAGTTATTTCAAAATAAAAGTTTCATTAAAAACTATACAAAAAGTACAAATAAAAAAGCACTGATTTCTTAAAATAGACCAACTGGGTTAATTTAAATAGTAAACTTCTATTCAACAGAAATAAGAGCCAGCTTAAATAAAATAATTATGGCTAGCTTGCATTAAAAATAAACGTATAATTTAAAAAAATCACTCAATCCAAAAGGCAACCATTCATAAGAATATGGATGGGAAATCCGTAAACGGCAGATTCGAGAAACACACTTCCTCTGCTGTAGAAAAAGGGAAGAAAAATAAATCCTGTGTTTGAGAGTTGACAAAATACAAGTTACACGTTTGATAGTTCAAATAGCCTGAACTCAGAGCTAAATTTTCATCAGTTTTGTAAGTGAGGCAGGATATAAATAAAAAGTGGCTTTATAAATAAAGCACATGGTCAACTGGTGGTTAGGTGAGACTGGTCACATAAAAATGTATCCCAAAGGCCCACTGGGTAAGCCACACAGTAGAAATAAATTTTCTTATTCTGACATAATTTTCTTCTCAGATTATTTTGAAGTGCTGTGCCATTCATTCCCTTCATTCAGTCAGCCCTTATTGTGGCATCACACTGACACTTGTTAAGAGCAAAACACTTTATACTATAGTTGGTATTACTTAAGCAACTAAGTCCAAACATGGTTCCAGTTAGTTTAAACCAGCCTTTCTCTGATGATGGAAATGTCTGGATCTGCACTGCCCAGTATGGAAGCCACCAGCCATATACAGTTTTTAAGAACCTGAAATGTTGCTAATGTGACTGAGGAGTTTATTTATGAAGGACACTACAAAAGTTTTGAGATACACAAAACTTAAGAACCATAAAATCATTTTGATTATTATATTTTCTCAAAATAATCACTGACATTCTAAGTATTTTTGCTTTCTTAAAAACCAGTTTTGAAAACACTTGTTCCATTCCTTTTCTTCAAATGCTGTAGGCTCACTTTCTTTTCTTCTTTTTTTTTTTTTTTTTTTGGCTGGGGCTGGGTTTGAGCCTGCCACCTCCAGCATATGAGGCCCGAGCCTACCCTTTTGAGCCACAGCGTAGGCTCACTTTCATAGCATGACAGCTTCTTCAGGGCTAGAGAACCTTCTTCCATGCATTCGATTTTTGCCTATAGCAAACAGGAAATAATCACATGGGGCCAGGTCAAGACTGCACAGTGGATGAGTCAGAAGTTTAACCTCTGTGGACTCCAGGAACCGAATGGTGATGTTGTCTGTGTGGGAGGATGCACTGTCATGCTGCTAGATGGTCCATGGCAGTCCTATCCTTGGATGCCATTCTTGAAGTGTCCTGAAAACTTCTGGAAAGCAGCATACTGCTGTACCACTGAGCAGCAGCAGTCCTTTGTTCCTCCAGAAGAAGACATACAACAAAACTGTTTTTGGAGAAGAAAGTTGCCACCATTTCTTCCCAATACTTTGGGGCTACTTGACTTTTGTTGATGGATTTTTATTGGGGAAAAAAATTCATACTGTGGAATGACATTCTCTCTATTAAACTGGTAAATCCAGGTTTCATCCTCAGTAACAATGTCAGAAACTCACACAGACTTGTCTCCATCAAATCTGACCAACATTTCTTTACACCATTCAGGATGGATGTGCCTGTGTTCATCTATCCAAGTATAAGGTATCCATCAGGATGAAATTTCCTGATTTGAAGATAATCGCGCAGGATTTTTTGGACACTGCCAGCAATCCAATCTGTAGCATCGCTTCAGTGTCCTTAAATGTCACTCGATTGCTTTCATCAACCATTTTTTCCACAATGGGAATGTTTTCCTCAGCCACTGCAGCTGCCTGATGCCCACTCCTCGTCATTCACTGAAGCGCAGCTTCTTCTAAATTCTTGAAACCACAGAAAAATTGTCAAACAGGAAGCGTAAGCTTTCCGAAAGCCTATTTACCCACTTTTAACATCACAGAAAATCATTATTTTAGCATTTTTCATTTGAAATGAAATTAACCTTCATCTTGGGTGGTTTTGGAGCCCTACCTATTCTATCAGAATACAATCGATCCTACCATCTCCACTGTGAAGACCCTAGTTCAATCTATTATCACATATGTCAAAATTATGACCCAGCCTGTGCGTGGTCAGCCTGCTTTCATCCTTGTCACTCTCAAGTGTATGTAGCAACCTTTGATGGCTTTGCATTGTAAACAGTAAAATCCAAATGCTGGAGCGTAACCAACAAGGCCTGAAATCCTCTAGTCCATCCTTACTCAGGCAGTCTGAGCAGATGACCCCTCTACCTAGAATGCTCCTTGTTCCTTTCCATTGACAAATGACGTGTGACAGTCTACTTTTTATCCTAGTTTGGATAGCAAGTCTTTAGAGGCCCCGCTTCCCCCATCTGCTACATCTAAAGCTGCCCTCCAACCCTCCTTTTAGCTACCCCCTCATGCCTACACTCCCTTAGTCCCTCATTTTCTTTCTGTTTACCTGTATACTCACTCACTGGCTATCTCCTTTATGCAGGTAGGTTCCGCGAGCACAGAGTGGAGCCTAGAATGGTGCTGGCATTCCATGTGTACTAAAATTGTTGAACAAATGAAAATCAATTCCCTATGGCTTTCTCAAAATCTTCCTTCCTTCCTTTGGTTACTTTACTTCTGTCACTTCTTTTTTTGAGACAGAGCCTCAAGCTATCCCCCTGGGTAGAGTGCCATGGCATCACGCTCACAGCAACCTCCAACTCCTGGGCTCAAACGAGTCTCCTGCCTTTGCCTCCCAAGTAGCTGGGACTACAGGCGCCTGCCACAACGCCCGGCTATTTTTTGGTTGCAGCCATCATTGTTGTTTGGTGGGTCCGGGCTGGATTTGAACCCACCACCTTAGGTGTATGTGGCTGGCGCCTTAGCCACTTGAGCCACAGGCGCCGAGCCACTTCTGTCACTTCTTAATAACAATTTCTCTTCACTAGATAGTTCTCTCCACCTTCCTACTTTGACATTCCCTCCATTAATGATATGCCAAATGGAGGATTCTACTGGTCTATGCAACCTTTCTTTCTCCTCAGCAGAAAAATGTGTTTAAGTCTCAGCTCAGATTCATTATCTAAAATGCACCTAAACTCCCCAGTTACTAGATTCCTCTCTAGCTATCACCTTACATTTCTTTGCCTCCACAGTAAAATCCTAAAGAACACCCCACATTCCTCTTTCTTTCTTTCCTTCTTCCCCCTCCCCCTTTTTCCCCATTGTCTTGGAACTCCTGGACACAAGTCCAGGTGATCCTCTCACTATGGCTTCCCAAATTGGTAGGACTATAGGTGCACGTCACTATGCTCAGCTAAAATTTCCCATTTTTTGTGGAGACGGGGTCTAACTATGTTGCCCACATTGGTTTTCAACTTCTGTCCTCAAGTGATCCTCCCGCTTTAGTCTTCCAAAGTGCTAGGATGACAGGTGTGAGCCACCAGCACCAGGCTTGACCCATCTCCTGCTCCTCTCAAGCAATGCTATCTAACTCATTCTCTGTCTTGACAAGAATAACAAATACCTTGACAGTGTCTCCTTTCTTCACCTTCACCAAATTATTCTCTTCTGGTTTTACTCTTGATGTGTAACAATTCTTTTTCAGGGTCCATTTTCTCTCTCCTTAAATGTCAATATTCTATTGGGTTCCTATCTTGGTCCTTGTTTTTCCTCATTCTGTAAACTCTCCAAGATATGACTCTCTACTACCATCTGTAAGCCAATAACTCCCAAGTCCTTTCTCCAATTACTCTCCTTAGTTCTAAAATATGTATCCAAATGTTCACCAGACATTTCTATTTGATTGTCTCCACAAGCATCTTAAACTCAACAAATTCAGAAGTTACCATCCTGGCTCCAAATATACCCCTCATGTTGTATTCCCAGAATCAATTCCTATCCACTCAGATACCTAATCCAGAACTCTGGGAGAAAACCCAGACCCTTTCTCCTCCCTCCCTTTTTTAAATGCAGGGAATAAGCCTCACTATTCTTCTCCAATATTTCTCTGACCAATCCTCTTCTTTACTTGAATAGGTATTACACTAATTTGGCTCCCTATCAACTCCTATCATACCAATCCCTGCTTCTTAACAGGTCCCCTTCTTTCCACTGCTTCCAGGTCTGCTACCAGTCAAGTTTTTCTCTGTGCGCATATGCTAGCTTCATTATAAAACAAAAGCCTGAGGATATCAGTCCACTGTTTAAAACTATGACTTCTCACCTAACACTTCTATAACTCCCTATCTATGGCAGGATGAGGACCCACCACATACGTGGCACACATGGCCTAACTCTTTAGGTTTGAGTTTCTACCTTGTACACTAAGTTCCAGTCATACCAAACCACTGGCACAACCTGGACCAACTCGACTGTGCACCTTTGTGCATATGCTAGCTTCATTATAAAACAAAAGCCTGAGGATATCACTCCACTGTTTAAAACTATGACTTCTCACCTAACACTTCTATGACTCCTCACCTAACACTTCTATGACTCCTCACCTAACACTTCTATAACTCCCTATCTATAGCAGGATGAGGACCCACCACATGGACCACAACCTGGACCAACTCGGACTGTGCTCCTTTGTATACAGCATACTCTCTGCCTGGAATTACCCTATTCTACCATCTCCTCATAAAACTCCAGCTTGTCCATGACTCCGTGCAGTAGTGGTCCTCCTGCTGCAAAGCCCTCCCCAATACCTCTGGGTGGTCAACTTACATGTCCTATAGCTGTCCTCTTTCTCCCAGGGATCACACTCTTATGTCATGGATGGTATGTTATTTTTATGATTCCCTAGTGCTAAGCAAAATGTCTGGCAGAGTAGACACTCAAAAGTACTTAAGACTGAGTGAACTTTGAGTCCTATATCAACCATATTACTTGTAGCTTCTCCCAATCCTCTGCAAGGTTTATCACAGTTCTAGACTGAGGCACAAGTTGATACTCGCTATCTGAAAAACATTCAACTTTCTCACTTAAGGAAACAGAATGTTGCAGTGAAAAAAAACAATGATTTGTAAGCAGACAGATGTGGCTTCAAAACCATCTTCAACACTAATTAACTATATGTTTTTGGACAAATCATAACCTTAATAAACATAAGTTTCTTATGCTATGAAAGTGGATTTATATTCACCCTAAATAATGTTTTGGAGGATCAAATGAGATTATATGAAACACCAAACAATTAGTGTTAGCAGCATTCACTTTACCTACAATGAAATCACCTCCTCTGTGAAACACTTCTCATTTGTCCTCAGAAGAATGTGAAGAAACTCTAATTCCATTATATATCCCTCTTATCATAGGGGATATCATCCAAGACCCCCAGTGGATGCCTGAAACTACTAATAGTACTGAATCCAATATATACCATTTTTCCCTAGTAAAAATGAAAAAGATTCATAAATTAGACACAGTAAGACATTAACAATGACTATCTCTTTCTCAAAGTATCTTAATTGTATGCTACTCATCCCTCTTGTGATAATGTGAGATGATAAAATGCCTACGTGATAAGATGAAGTGAGGTGTATCATACAGTAACATCTAAAAATCTGTAGCTTAGCAGCTTGGGTGCCAACCACATACACCGGGGCTGGCAGGTTTGAACTTGGCCAGGGCCTGCCAAACTATGGCAATTACAACAAAAAATAGCCGGGCGTTGTGGCAGGTGGCCTGTAGTCCCAGCTACTTGGGAGGCTGAGGCAAGAGAATCACTTAAGACTAAGAGTTGGTTCAAATTGTATGTGGAAACAACACACTGTATCCCATGATAGTATTAATGTGCACAAGTATGATTTAAGAAAAAAAAGAAAAAAAAGACTAAGAGTTGGAGGCTGTGAGCTGGTACATCATGGCATCTACTGAGGGCGACATATCGAAACTATCTCAAAAAAATAATAATAAGTTGTTTATTTCTACAATTTTCCATTTAATGTTTTTGGACTGCAATTGACTACAGGTAACTAACTGATACTGTAGAAAGCAAAACTGTGGATGAGGCAGGACTATTATATAGAAATAATTAAATTATTTTATAATTTTTGACTTTTATCTACCTGCATTCCCTCATTAGATTACAAGCACCTGGCTACAAGGATTTTTACCTTGTTCAGTGGTAAAGTTATTCATTATATGAATAGTCTTCATCCCAATTTCCTAGGTTACAAGATTGAAAAGGCTGCATAAGAAAGCACACCTGTGACCCCATCGCGAATAAGTTATAACTTGAAATACCTCTTGTTTAACACTAGCAAATATTTCATTAGTGTTGGTCAATCTCTAGCTGGTTCACTGAAGAAATGAAGAATAATTTGAATTAAATGTGACATTCTGGTTATAGAACAAAACTCCAAATCTTGCAAAAGACAGATAACAGTAAATGGCTGAAGATTATGTTGTAGACAGCCCAATTCACACACAAGTCTCTGACACATGAAAAGCTGACAGACTAAAACCAGTTAACAAACCAACAAGGATGAGGATGAGCCTTCAAAAGAAATGACATCTAAACTCAAAGGAACAACACTTTACCAAATGACCAATACTTTTTCAAATACATTCACCAAAAAGACCCTTTACAATGGGAATACAAAAAAACTTAACTGAAGATTGTTGTATCTTAGTTTTATACAATTTTGATGGAAAAGATACACAGACAAATCAACACGACTTGTTCTTTATTCTATGAAATAAGCAACTGTTGTAATTGTTTTATGAAAGATACAAAACATTTATTTTCATAACCCTTCAGGTCAATTTTTAGGATAAAAGTCCCAAGTAAGCCCCCTCTTTCTTTTTTGTGAAATTCTGGTGTAGGTTTTAATGGATCTACTTTCTGAGTGGTCTTTCTTCAGAACTGATTATCTTGCATTAAGGAGTTCTTCTATTATCTTTGGTGCCTCTACTAGGCACCCAATAAATATATGTTCAAAAACTACCAGAAGACCAAGACAAGGATTCAAAAAAGGTATTTCACAGTACTCTTGTGTATCAAACAGTCTTGATTGGGAGTAAGTCTCATTACGTTCTAAACTCCATCAATGTCCTAGATCCTTACCGGGGATGGGAAACAGTTACATAAATTCTGTCAATGAATTAATTCCATTTCGCAGAAGACTAATCTAAAATCTTAGATTTCCATGATTTACGTACAAAACACTGTGCTCATAGAGGTGGGGCTGGGGGAAGTGACAGGAGTTTAAGAATACTCCACGATCTTGTACATAATCTGGGGGTCAAAGGAGAGTGTACATAAATACCTGTGTTCAATGAATTCACGGAGACTGTGCAGGGTGATTCTAACCTCAGACTCTAGGGTTGTTCTCATATATCTACCTACCTGACGGCTCGGAAGGAAGGGCTTTGCTGTATCAGCTTGTGAAACTAAGAGAAACTAGTCCAGAGCAGTGCTTTGTAAAAATCACATTCTTTCCTTTCTCTCTCACACTGAGTGGACAGATCTACCTAGCTTGGATCAAACTCGGCTGGTTTGGGGTGGGAGTAAAGCCTCAAAGTCAAGAGTCTCACAAGGCCAGTGGCCCGGAGACCCAAACAGCGGGCCTGAAACCACCCTTCAGCTGAAAGGCGCCCGCCCCCCACCTGCGGCTTCCCGCCGAGCCGCCCTCCTTGGCCCTGACCAGAGGCGCGGCCGTTTCCTCTTTCCTCCGGGCCCCGCACCCAACTTCTCGCGCCTCCAGCTGTCCAGGGGGACGGGGGATGAGCAGCAGTACCTGGAGGTTGTTGGAAGTGGATGCCATGGCGGAGATCCAAGGCGGTTCCCTGGGGGTGGGGATGAACGAGGCTTGAGAAGAGCCAACAGCAGCGACGCCGAATCGCGCCCGGGGTGATGGGCCCCAAACTGGGGGTGGTCGCTCTCGCGCCCTGAGTGGTGGCCTCCTTTCCGGAACTTATCCTAGAACACCACCACTCCCAACTAGCCGCCCGACCCTCCTCACAAAACTTCCGCAATCCCGAACCTCTCCCGGCCCCGGCCCCGCCTCTACCCCGCGCACTTCCGCTGTCGTCATCAGCACGCGCGCCGCCCAATCACCGGTTCTTCCGCGTCTCGCCGGAGCCCGGCACTCGGGCTCTGGGAGTGTAGCCTTGAAGCTCGTGAGGCCAGGCGGATGTCGGGTTTAGTGCAGGCGCACCACAACTCCGGCCTAGGGGCTGGGAGGAGCGCAAGCGCGAGAAGACAGGGTCTTTTCCCCCGGAAGTCTTTCACGTTGGGATGAGTCGTTCGCCATTGGTCTCTTCCATTTTTGTCTGCTTGTGTTGTGGCTCTGTGGCTTTTAAGTGAAAAAAGTCATCCCATCTTCAAGACTGAGCGGTTGAAGGCTTTGGGCCTGTTACTATTACTCATCCACTCCCGTATCCTCATCTGTGGAAAGGGGACCATTGTACCTATGTCGGGGTGGTGAAGAACACTGGAGGGAATGCGCGAGAAGGTGCCCGATGCGGTGGGGGTGAACAGTCAAGCCTTAGTCAAGGTGGAGCTTGTTACTGCTCAGACTTTACCGGTTATTCAGTAAACATCTTTCGTGTGATTAACGTGTTGGCTTCGGAGGCTTTGGGAATATTAACATAAGTGGACAGGTACGGGCTTACGGTCTGATGGGGAAGCAGGCTCCTGGACGTGTCTTGTAAAATGAGTAGGTCACATATTATTCATGCCAAGGAAATTGATGGTTTGAGAGGTTAAGTGCTTTGTGCGAGATCATAGGAAGAGGGATTAGTGGCAGAACTAATATGAAAACTTTTCTCAGCTTTACGGTTTGCAGCCACAGTCTTTTTTCCCCCTTTTTCATAGTTAAGTTTCTCAAAGGAAAGCAAAATAGATGTTTAATCACTCCATTGATTTATTTCCTACTAATTCCCTGATTCTTTGCAATCATCTGGTATCTCCTAAGTAATTAAAAAGTACTCACCTCCTCTTAATATGTATTGCCAACTACCCGGTTCTTGAAATCTCTCTTGTCTAACTTCCTGATGTTTCTTCTCTATCTCCTTCATTCTTTCCCCTTCTTTCTCCTCTAAAAGAGCAAAATTTCCTCGAGGGTCAAATGTCCCTCTCACTATTTCATCTTTGTTCGTCCTACTGGGCTTCAGATGTTAATAGACTAGAAATGGCTTCAAATCTGGATTTCTAGGCCCACTCTATCCTCTGTCCAGCATTTACAGCTGCCGCTGAAAGGTCTCTATGACAGAGTTTTTATCCAAGATAAATTCAGCACATCAAAAGCCAAATTAATTATTTTCTATTCCCAACTTCTTTCTGTGGTCTCTCCTTCTTAGAATGGTATTCCTAAATCTATGTCACCCAGGCTCAAAGCTTAAAGCCTCCTCTCTGCTCTGCATCTGTCATTCCTTTCTCCCACCTCTCTTTCTTCGTTAGTTACTGATAAAATATTGCAGGGTCTCCAGCCATTAGGAGAATACCATACATAATAGATGCTTAATAAATAGTAAGCTGTTCAACTTAGCTCATTAAAATCGGTCCCTGGTTCCCTGTGACTGTCAAATGAACCTGATTTTTCTTAAAGATGTAACCATACTCCAACTAACTTTTCAAGTCAATCCCCAAACATTTACTAAAACTAAATACAAGTATGGAGCATCAGGGTACTATGAAGATGAATATGATAATGGTCCTTGCTATTTAGGAGTTTACAATTTAGTGGGTGAGATAGCCCAGAATAGTTTGAAGAGTTAATTAAGATTTATTGCGTACAACCATCTGCCAGTCATTTTAGATGATGGATATGACCAAACAGTCAAAAATTCCTCTTTTATCACCAGTAGGAAGTCATGTTGATATGAAGTATCCTTTGATGTGTAATGAGAGGGAACATCACCTCCGTGGTATTTTCCCAAATCTGTAACCTCAGTCTAATGAGAAAATACCAGACAGATCCAAGATAAGGGTTTTTCCACTTCTATAACTAATCATTGATCTTCGGAAATCAAAGTTGTAAAGACAAGAAAACACTTGAGGAAGTGTCACAGATTGGAAGAGACTAAGGAGACATGACAATTAAATGCCACGTGGGATTCTGGAATAGAAAAATTGCATTAGTTGAAAACTGATAAGAATAGAGTGCGCAGTTTGGATAATAGTATTATGTCAATGTTAATTTCTTAGTTTTAATAAATGTGCCATGGTTATTTAAGATGCTATGAGTAGGGGAAGTTGGGTGAAGAATACATGGAAATTCTCTGTATACCTTTGCAACTCGTCTGTTTTATTTAAAAATGAAAGTTTTTCTTTTTTAAATTTCTGTTCTCTAGGATCTACATTGTAGTGGAATAGAAACTTTACATGTTTAAAATATAAAAATGTTCCATGTGTAACATTTACATACATGATCTTACTGAATTCTGTGAGGTAGATTTTAAGTATTTCATTTTTACAGATGAGGAAACAACCTGGGAGAGATCAGAAGTTCCCCAGTCCATGCAGCTCTTATGGAGGAGTCTGAACCCATGTCATCTGACTCCAGGGTGACAAGTGCTAGAATGGAGGCAGGATGCACGGTGGGGCCACAGGAGAGAGAAGCTTAATTCTGAATGTCTCATTAGGGCTATCTTAAGGTAGTGTCATTTAAAGTGAAGCTTAAAGTCTTAAGCTGATTTTGCAGGATGGGTAGAAATAAAGGTGTGGGAGAATAAAATTCGTGACATGTCTGAGGGGTGGCTGGAGTGTAGGAAGCAGAGGAGCTGTGGGGACTAAGTGGCAGGAAAGGAGGGTAAAAATGCACCAGCCAGAACTGCCAGGTGCTCAGTGCTTTGAGTGATAAGGAGTTTGGACTTTATTCTAGAGGCAATTGGATTTGTGGAAACTTTCCCCCTCACTCTTTCGCAACCCCCCTAAGCCCCACCTTTTCTCTCTTCCTGTTTTCCTTCTTGGTAGAGTTGTGATTTGGTCCAGTATATATTTTATTTTACCTATTTTATTTTTGAGACAAGAGTCTCTTTACATTGCCCTCAGTAGAGTGTGGTGGCATCATACCTCACAGCACCCTCCAATTCCTGAGCTCAAGTGATCTCTTGTCTCAGTCTCCCAAGCAGCTGGGACTACAGGTCCCCACCACAACACCCTGCTAGTTTTCAGAGATGAGGTCTCACTGTTGCTCAGGCTGGTCTCAAACTCCTGACCTCCAGCAGTCCACCCATCTTAGCCTCCCAGAGTGCTAGGATTACAGGCATGAGCCACTGTGCCCAGCTCCAGTATTGGTTTTATGAATATGGATCTGAAGGTCATTTGTGAGTCACCAGAAAGAGAACAGAGGCAGGAAGATCAATAGGAGGTTTCTGTAGCAGTGTTAGAAAATGGGGTGTACAGAGCCAAACGGTATTTCTGATTCATGGAGAGCAGCCTCTAGTTCCTGGCCTCTTTGGCATTGCTGAATATATCCTCACTTCTTCAGTTGCTTTCACCAGTTCAGCCTGTTTTAATAAAACCATACATATTCTTCAAGTGCCAGTTCTGATGTCACTTCCTCAAGAATCTCTCTTTGAACTTGGGACTTGACTTGCCCTTAGATAATACGGGCTAAGTGCCTAAGGCAGGGAGGGCCCAGCACAGAGCAGCTACCAAACGTCCTTAGCCTCCTAGCAGGGTGTTCTGCCTTTCCAGACAGAACTGAATAAAAGCCCAAGAGCTAGGCTTTGTCTCATTCAGTTTTGTTACACACCCTCCCACCCTATACCTCACCCCCTCACACACATATACACACAGTGTGTGCTTAAAGAGCCAAGATTTGTTGAGCAAAATAAAATTTCCTTGATGTGACTAAAGGTTTTAGAATTAGGGGTGTCTGTGGGATAGCAGGTGGCATTTGTGGATTCAGCCTTCAACAGGGTCTCTTGTGCAACCATCCAGGGCTGAGTCCGTTTCCCTCAGACCATGCTAAAGGGCATGCCTAAGTTAAGGGCCACGTGCGTGCCCTGCGCAGACTCACAGGTCTCTGTTGAGTTTCCAGCTCCCTCCCTAACCTGGAGTAGGGAAGACAAAGGGCTGACAGGGCTGGTCCCTTGAAAGAAGTGACTCACAGGCAGTTCTCAGGCAGGAAACCTGTTTGGGCAGATCAGGTGACATACCTTTCTGAATGTGCCCAGATGCCCCGAAGGCCCAGCCCTTTCTCACTACTGTTCATTTATTCATATGAAGCCACAGCCAGCTGTGTACTGATAAGGACATCTAGGAATCAGCCCATCAAGGTCCTTGTGCCATGTGACAGAGGGTACTGTTCCTCACCGGGAGGGCAGGCATGATGTTAGCACAAAGGAAAAGTTGCAGAGCCTGCCCCCCAGAAGCTTTCGGGATAATAGCATCCTCCCTGTGATAGGTCCTTGACAGTGTAGTTAACACACCTAGGAAGAGTTGGTTTCAAAGACCTTTCCCCTTTCCTGTTCAAACTAAGTCTTTTCCTGGACTCCCCTCTCCCCCCCAGAAATGCCTCCTTTACTCTTATTCTAGATTCTATATTTGAGCATTTGTGGCTTCTTGTTGAAGGAAGGTAGAAAATATTTGCTTTTTTCTCAAACCCCCCCTTTTCTACCCTCTCAGTATCAAGTACGAGCCATACAAAGAATTGTTTTCTCCCACTTTCAAGGCCCTCTGTAAAATTAATTGATCTCTGCCAATACAATAGGAAAAACGGCATCTTATAATCTTAGATATACCCTCAACCTTCCATATTCATGGATTACATGTTTGTAGATTCAACCAACTGTGGGTGAAAATATTAGGGCAAAAACAGGATAACTACGTGTACTGGATATGTACAGACTTTTTTTGTTGTTTTTATTCCCTAAATAATGTAGCAGAAAAACTATGTAGCATTTACATTGTATTAGTTACTGTAAGTGATCTAGAGATGTTTTAAATGATATGGGAGGATATACATAGGTTGTATGTAA